TTCCATATGACCGCGTTGCAAGTAGTCATCCAAAAACTCTTCGTATTGCTTTTTGAGTTCCGGATGTCGACGAAACCGTCGCTCCAATGAGACTAGGCGGTTGGTGGCCTGGGGAAGAGTTGATTCGATAGGCGGGGCTCCATCCTTGAAGGGATACTCGACGATATAGACCCCGTCTTCGAAGCGCGTGTGAGTGTTTGCGAAATGACTCTCTGTGGGATCACTGGAGTCCAAGAGAGATTGGTTAGGTTGCACATTGTCCATTTCCATGAACGATCGAACCATCGTGTCGAGATCCGCGTGATGGGTCACGGCCGGAGTGATGTGGTCGTCGCAGGCAGTGTACGAGCCTGCAATAATCCAACCAAAAATTGTATTGAGAGCGATGGGATAGCTCTTACCAAAATATTTTCTTTCTCCGGTATATAGAGACCATAGTTGATCAGATCCAACGATGACATCTATAGATCCAGGAGTGCAGAACGTCGGATCTGCTAAGGGAAGTGCTGAGATTTCCTTCCAGGTTGAAGATGATGTGTCAATAGTTTGCGCTGGAAGCGATGACGTCAGCGAGGACAAAATGAAGGAGTCCATCTCGATGATATGATCCGAATGCCGAGAGTGCAGCTTAAAGTGTGCGCGCCCTCGAGTATGACCGGCGTTGTTTGCGGCCAGACCAAGAATTGAAATTCGTGCATGCGTTCGATGCACGCCAATCCGCTGAACAAATGATTCCGATGCCAAAGTAATGGTGGATCCCGTGTCTAAGAGCAATCTGCATTTTGTTGTATTTCCCCAAGCGTCGTCGACGTCTGCGAGAATGGTTGGCAACAGGGTTTGCGAACCTGCATACGAAATATTTTCCAGGGTATGATGAGTGTAATTGTTCCCCACAGGAGGAACGCTGCCTGATGGTGTCTCTTCGTGAGTGCGAAGTTTATTGTTTGTGCTGAATGATCTATCTCGGGGGGTTGAGGACAGATTGCCAGTGTTTACGCTAGGTGACTCATTAGGCTCTCCAGGTCGAAAAGGCTGCGGTGTGTCGTGGACCAATGTATGATGTTTGCGGCGGCAGACCCGGCATGTGTGTTTCGATGTGCAATTGCCGACCATGTGTGAAGCGCTGAGGCAGTTAAAACAGAGCTTTCTGGTTTTCAGGAATTCTCGGCGAGCTGCGATGTCCAACGTTAGAAATTGGTCACACCTGTACAGCTGATGAGTCTGTTGGCAATATAAACACTTGTTGTCGTCGCGTCTCTGGTGGGCGTCAGCATGATGAGTAGCAGCCGATCGTCGAGCTTGAGGCGCGCGACCGAGTTGGCAGGCTTCAAAGGTTTCGCAGTGAGATGTGAAGAGGTTAGAAATTGCTCGACGGTCACACTGGAATTTTCAGATTCTGCGCGCTGGGCCCATGACTGCCGAGTTTCAGGATCTAACTTTGATAATAATATAAATATTAACCAGGGATCTCGTTCATCGCACTGAAGTGCTCTTAACCCACGAATAACTTCATCTGCGCCGTCCACCAATTTACGCACAGTGCTGATGCTACTGGTTGTGGCACTAGGTAGCGTTAGAAAACTGTTCAGAAATGATCGGATAATAAGCGGTTTTTTGGTGTACTGTTTTTCCAACTTGTCCCAGGCTTCACTGTAGTTTCCATTGGTCACTGGAATATGTTTCACTAATGCGAGTGCCTCGCCAGACAGGTATGATTTCAAATAGTGAAATCTTTGGCAATCAGTGAAATTCGTATTTGATGCAATCGATGCCGTGAACATGTCCGAAAAATGTTTCCAATCCTCATAATTTCCTGAAAAGGTTGGGAGCTTGATTCGCTCGAACTGAAAGTCCACATGGCTTCTGCGAGTAGTGTTGAATGATTGATCGGAAACAAGAAGAGTATTGTTAGCGACTTCAGCCTTTAAATCTTCAAGCGTATTACTGAGAATAGCGTATGTAGCGTAGTGTTTTTCCTCGTATATATCAACGTCTTCAGCAGGGTCTTCCCAAACCTCTTCAGACTCGTAGGCGTACAAATCCTCCGTAAGTCGCACAAACCGCAAATAGTTGTCCTGTAGCTGGGCCAATCGCGCGACTAATGTCGGGATTGACTGAATATCTTCCACAAATTTCGTGGCATTGTTATGCGCACGAGTAGTCGGCTCGAAGGACCAGTAATTTTATGTTAAAAAATTAGACGCCAGAAGTGTAACTGTTTAAATTGATTTTTATTTGTATTCACCGAACATTCTATATAATTTAGTACAATCAATTTCGATGCGCTGTGATTGCGTTGGTAGCAAAAATGTGACTGACTGTAGCTGGGTATATTGCTACAAGAATAGGCTGAATTAAGTCGTAAACACGTTACCGTAAGAGATGAATGGAAAAGTACTGACCGAGGCAATGCATTTGGCAAAGCTCTTGCATGTACATACGATTAAGCTGCGCTTCATGCGCGTGTATGTGTAAATAGATAACACAGGCGAGCGAGAGATAAAGTTTACAAGAATAAATGTATAGGGTGTCTGGTTCCCCAACAGATGGGTTCCGATCTATCTCCTGTCCTAGCGGATTCCGTGCAAGCTTCCACGACTCTCTTTCAGGTGAATCTTCTAGCCGTGGAGCGCTCGCACTCCGGGGTTGGTGATTTTCTCCGCGCGTCGTAGCTTGTGTCACTCTTCCGGTGCTGGGTTCGAAAAAGACCTTTTGCTTGGCCCCCATCATTTATGAAGTTGCCCTTCTCTGTAGGCCTTCGATTTCTTTAATAGTTTTACCTTGCGCTGGTTAATTCTGGCAAGCACTTTTAATTTTTTCACTTTTGTATGCTTAGTATAACAAGATCAAGGTGATAGTTTTCAAAAATGCCCGGTCAGACAATAAATGTTTCTCTGCTCACAAAGTCTCTCTTCGGTCAAGAACCGTCCGATATTTAAACCCCAAAAACCCTGCTCGGGGTAATGCAGTCACCATTGCCCGGCCTGCACCCTCATGGAGGGTTCAGAAGGAGTATTTTTGCCAGCCGAAGCAGACAAAAGTATCCATAATTTTTTTTTAATTCAGACCACTATACCAAGGGGAATGTTAGGTTTGAAAATTTGCAAACGAGCAATAAAAAGTGCGGGAAGAGCACAAACTCTGCACGCTTAAGCTTTCGGTAAAGCCTAGTACTCAGATTGGCTAAGAGTTTAACTAGTCGAAAAATCTTATTATTTGTAGTGTGACCGAAGTTTTCAAAGTTCACTCGCAATGCATGTGGCATGGTCTTACTGTCAAGCAGCTGGGCTTGTTGCCAAACGGAAAACAAATCAATTGGAGCAATTTAAAAAAGAAGAGTCTGCTGGTGCACAAAATAAAAGTAAATTAAATGTTCAACGAATGTTTTTATTTATGTAAATTAGAAGTGTAAGGCTTCATTCTCGTCCCACGGATGCTTCGCCATCTTTCCCGCGCCATCTGTAGTCCCGCTCCGAGTCCAAATAGGCTGGTCAATAATTGCTGGTAATGGCTCCTCCAGCTGTCCCTTAGCGTGAGACCTTTTTTTCTCATCCCTATAGAAGCCAGCGCGTCCTCCATCTCCGCTTTAGCTGTCAAGTAGCTGGTGGAGGTGGAGTCCTCAATGGAGAGCTCGACGGAGATAAGGCGATGTCCCATGTTCCTTCCCACTGGGATTCTCTAGTGGATCTAGTGGAGCGCTTCAACTATTCTGCATATTTGCCTCGTTGTGGTATTGCTTCCTGTCGGTTAATAATGGGCAACAGCTTGGATTAGGCGTCCTTTTTCATCTGCACTGACCTCCTTTAGCCGGTTTTGTGTTTTTCTTCCATTTTTCATTTTTAAATTCCCCACCGCTTCTGCACGAATACCGCCAAAGATTAAATTTCTTATTCTTTGGACCGCGGCTAACGGCGTTCATCGAAAATTCACTCTCGAAATCTGGTATTTTTTCTGGTATTTCCTTAGCTCATCTGAGTACCGCGCCGAAAAACAGACCCGACGAAAAGCCTTAGCCGCCTGATTGCCTCTCGCTCACTCCTATGGTTAGCTCGCGGTTTTCGTCGATGTGAGTACTAGGCTTAAAGGAGGAAAAAAAATTGAAATTGACAACGCATAAAGGAAAGCAATAAATCACAAAAACAGAAACATAAAATTCAAATTGCAAATGGATTTACTTAGATTTTGCACAGAATAGAATAAATTCACTCGCGAAGAGAACGAAATAGTGATCCTAATTAATAAAGGGACCGAATATTAAAAGTTTTGATATAAAGCGTTAAGAGAAAATACTAATTCCGAGATCAGAAAAATAACACGACCGTTATCTTTGAAAGTCAGACTTCTTTTTGGGTTTAAACTGAAAAAAATTAACCAGTTCAATTCCTAGTTCAATAAAATCACCAACAAATAATTGGTTTTGTAGTTATCGGGTGTAAAAAAGGCACAAATAACGATATAATGTCAACAAATACCAAACAAAAATTAAATCTTCATACCATACAAAATATTCGTCACGAAACCCTTCAAGGTACTGTTGAAAATAAGATGGTTCCACTTTCATAAGGCGAAAAATAACTGCTGCCAAAGATCTTGTAAATACTCGTATATATTTATCTGACTTGATTCTTCACATATCTTTGGTTTGCCACTGCTGAAACACAAACAAATTAGATAGGAAATTATTTATATATATATATATTATAAGAGAATTGACTAGTTCGTCACCTTACCCTACTCGTTACTTAACCCTACACTCCCTTTCCAATATTTCCTTCTTCCTTTTTAGTTTAAGCCTAGTACTCACACCGACGAAAACCGCGAGCTATCCATAGGAGTGAGCGAGAGGCAAATAAGAGGCTAACGCTTTTCGTCGGGTCTGTTTTTCAGCGCGGCACTCAGATGAGCTAAGAAAGTACCAGAAAAATATCTGATTTAGCGAGTGAATTTCGATGAAAGCCTAGTACCCAGATCGGCTAGGAGTTTCACAAGTCGAAAAATCTGATTCTTTTTAGTGTGACCGAATTTTTCAAGACTCACCCGCAATGCATGTAGCATGGTCTGAATGGTCTGAAAAAAGTGTGTCCGCAAAAGGGCCAGCTGGAGGAGCCAATACCAGCCATTACCAGGACGCTGGGCGACTTCCTGCAGCATCAGAGGAACTACCCCGTGTTCCCAATCCGACTTTGGATTCGGAGCTAGACTGCAGATGGCGCGGAAAAGATGGCGAAGGAAGCTGTAAGCTACTAATTTACATAAATACAAATATTCGTTGAACATTCCATTCATTTTTATTTTATTTCTTTGTGCGCCAGCAGACTCTTCTTACCACATGGGCTGAAAAGTCCCGGGTCGAACACATAGATGGCGCTAATTTTGTTGCAGTCACCTTTTTTACAGTTAATACTAACCTTCAAAAGATAACTCATAAAATTTCATAATATTCTATTCATTAGTTTGTGAGTTATAGTGCTAAGAGTGACGCTCCTTTTGTTATTTTCAAAACAATGGATCAAAAACAATTTCGTGTTTTAATTTTACACTGCTTCTTGATGGAAAAAAATACCGTTCAAGCGAAGGAATGTCTTGAAAAGTGCTATAAGGACTCTGCTCCATCAGAAACAACAATAAAACGTTAGTTTGCTGACTTCAAACGTGGTCGTAGAGACACCGATGATGCAACGCACCTTGCCACAAGTCAATCAAAACAATCACAAAACTACATGAATTGAACTTCGAATTGCTCCCATATCCACCGTATTCGCCAGATTTGGCTCCCAGCGACTACTGGCTGTTCGCAGACCTGAAAAAATTCTCACTGGTAAGAATTTTCCCAGGAATGAAGAGGTTTTCGCTGAAACTGAGGCCCATTTTGAGGCAAAAGATAAATCGTTCTACAAAAGTGGTATTGAAATGTTAGAGCGGCTCTGGAATGATTGCGTTGCGCTTGATGTAGATTACGTTGATGAATAAAGCTAATTATAAACCAAAAAAACCGTGTTTTCTATGCTCCAATTGATTTGTTCTCCGTTTGTCAACAAATTCAGTTGCTTGACAGCAAGACCATGCTACATGCACTGTGTGTGTACTTTGAAAACTTCGGACACACTACAGGAACACGATATTTCGCCTAGTGAAACTCTAAGCCGATCTGAGTACTAGCCCTTCAGTTCTGCAGTAGGGGCGCGGCGACATTGTTCAAGGCAAAAAGCTTTTTTGTCTTTTTTTTAGTGCCTAAAACGCTGTGCCACTGTTGACGTCAGCAGAGAAGTCGGCGCAGCGTAGAAGACTGCCTACGAAAACGATCGTGCAACAAAGAGAGGCAGATATTCGGAGGTTCCCTGTCTTTCTTTGTCTTATAATCTGCCTGCACTCGGCGCTCTCAGAGACTAATTTCGGCCGGTCCCTTATTTCGTTTGCGTCTCTTCGTTATGTTCGGCTAGCGACTAATGATTCGGCGGAAAAATTTTCGTGGCGCAGCGACATGTGAATGCCCTAATGTTTAAGGAGCATTATTGTATATAAAAAAAAAACAGCTAATATTGTTTTATAAAAGTAAATTATTTGATTATAGTAAAATTAAGTAAATCGAATTTACTTTTAATGTTATGCTTACTTATTATATATTAATATTACAATATAATTTTTTAGTTAATTTATAGAAATTGAGTACGTTAAAATTGATTTAAATATTTAAAAAATTTAAATATTACCATTATTAGAAATTATACATTCGGATATTTTTCGCTTTAGGAAAGGTTTAGGTCCAGAGGCACGCGCCAACTGCGAAGAGAAAACAAAAGCTTTTCATTTGAATTTTCACTTGTGAAAATGCGGACATCCCATACAATTTTCTATATGGAGCGTCACTAGTTCTTCACTTGTGCAAGAGGACATGTCCCACGGGATTCACAAGGTGATTCACAAGTGAAACCCGTGGGACATGTCCTCTTGCACAAGTGAAGAACTACCCCTTCAGTTCTGCAGTAGGGACGCGGTGACATGGCTCAAGGCAACATACGTATATAAATATTCGTGCAGTATCCTACAGTCTATTAGACTACTATAAACTTTACAGCGGCGAGTATCAGCCATGTAGTTGTATGTACCATTGCAAAAGCGCTATGAGCGACGTTTGTAGTCGTGAATAGTTAGCGTTTTCCTGATATGCGCACCTTAACAGGTGGTAAATTCGATACTTTCCGCTAACAAAAATAATTGTAATTATTTAATTCCATATGCATTAGCTAATATTATGTTACTCAATTATTACTCAATAAATTTATAATGTAAACAAGGAAGAACGCTGTAGTCGAGTACCTCGACTATCAGATACCCGTTACTCAAAGGGAAATAGAGATATGCAAGCAGCAAAGCGAGATTAAAATGCGCCACCTACCGGCGGTAGACAGATTTAAGCGTTATGGGCGTTAGAGTGGGCGTGGCAAATTTATTTTTGGATCAATCGATAGGTATTGACGACACCAATACATTTCAGATACAATTTTTTATCTAGCATGCAAATTGTGGCCGTCATAGGTTTTCGCGGTTTGTGGGCGTTTAAGTGGGCGTGGCAAACTTTTTTTTAAGTCAATCGATAGGTATTGATGAGAACAATACATTTCAGTTAAAATTTTCTTTCTAGCATCAAAACTGTACAGTTTTGGGCGGTTTGTGGGCGTTAGAGTGGGCGTGGCAGTCTACTGAAACAAACTTGCGCTGCGTAAGAAGCTCAGGAATCTGTACGCCAAATCTCAATAGCCTAGCTCTCATAGTTTCCGAGATCTCAGCGTTCATCCGGACAGGCAGACGGACAGACGGACATGGCTAGATCGACTCGGCTAGTGATCCTGATCAAGAATATATATACTTTATGGGGTCGGAAACGCTTCCTTCTGCCTGTTACATACTTTTCGACGAATCTAGTATACCCTTTTACTCTACGAGTAACGGGTATAAAAAGAAATCAATACCATGAAGTGCTAGAACTTGAACCAAGGGGAGTGCTGAAGCGAGAAGTGGAGTAGGTCAAGAACAATGACATACCTTTTAGCTTTTTAACCTTGACACTTGTGGATCGTATTGCGAATTTAGCAGAATTTTCTTAAATAAAGAACTATGAGGTTTCCTTATTGTAATACTGTAAAGCTACGTGCTGACCGACTATTTGTTGAAATTAACGTATATACAATTTAGTTGTGCTTTCTGACCGATGCCCCTTGATATACGAGGTATTTGTCAGGTCGTTTGATTGGTTCGAGTCCTACAAAGAGGGCCCAAATATACCTGTGTTTTTCTCATTCGACACTCTTTATTAAAATCCTTCAGCTAAACATATTGAGTTGCTGCGTGCAGAGTGTAAAAAATTTAAAAGGTGTATTTATTTAGTATATCGGATAATACATTTTCGTCACTAAAGTTTATAACAGAACTTTTGTTTGTTGAAGGTGCGATTGTCACTAGATTCTTAGTTCGTTAAGAGGTGTTTTTGTTTGTTAGTAAATATACGGGAACAAGTTCCTGCAGCAAAAACGGCTTGACATACAAATCTAAGAAAAAGAAAAAATGCTATAATCGATGTCCTCAACTATTAGATACCAGTTACTTAGCTAAAGAACATAGCCTGTAACGCCAACTAGCATATAGAGCTCCTAGCGGCTTGAAGGTGTTTTAGTGGAAACAGATGATTTGCTGCATGTTGAGTGCATTTTCGATTGAATTTCCAAAATACTGATTATTATTTGGTTATAACTTTTCATTGAATGGTCCGATTTCAATAATTTTGTATACCCACAAAATTAATAAAATATAAAATAATAAAATTTTTACAAAATATTTGAAAATGTGGGCGCTGGACGGGTTTTAGTATTATGGCCGTTTGTGTGCGGTAGAGTGGGCCCAAAAATTTACATGCGAAGCTCCAACATTCTAGCTCTTATAGTTTCCGTGATCTCAGCGTTCATACGGACAGGAGCGTCACTTGTTCTTCACTTGTGCAAGAGGACATGTCCCACGGGTTTCACTTGTGATTCACCTTGTGAATCCCGTGGGACATGTCCTCTTGCATAAGTGAAGAACTAGTGACGCTCCATATAGAAAATTGTATGGGATGTCCGCATTTTCACAAGTGAAAATTCAAATGAAAATTTTTCGAAGTCCCACGGGATTTCACTTTTTCCTTATACTCATTTTTCGTATGGCCTGTAACTTGTGATAATCAGATTTTTTCCATGAGTTTTCACTTATGAAATCACTTGCAAGTGACACGTCCCAAGTGAAATCACTTGTGAAATCCAGAAGTTTTCCCATGAGCTTTTACTTATAGAAGTTAAAATACATAAATTTGTTTATACTTTTAAATATATTTTAATTAAATAATTTTATTTAGGTTTTCTGTTAAAAGACATTTATTGTTAGTAGGCCTAATTTTATGTTACGTTAATTTGCTTTTTACATTGGCCTTAAACCTTTGTCCGGGTCCTCCGAATCCTTGGCCAACGCTCCTGATTAAATTTATGGTCATATGCTTAAAAAATGCGTTTTATTTGTTTATTTTCATATTTAGCTTTTAGAGCTGTGTTTCACCCTTTGCAGGATTTTTATTGGCGCAAAACATTTCATCATCCACTTTCGGCTAACGGAACCCATTGAATACCTTAATACTTTAAACTAAGATCAAAGCACAACATCGTCAACTTAATGTAGCACTTACCTGACTTTATTATTTTCACTTTAGAAAACGAAAGATGTAAATCTGCTGCGCACAATTTAAATGGCTTGCTTCCCTTTCAATAACTCAAACAGAATGAACCAAGTATTCCTCTCACCCCTTTACATGATTTCTTATAATTTCTCTTCGCTGTTGTTATTATTATTATTTTCACTTTAAAAAACGAAAGAAGTAAATCTGCTGCGCACAATTTAAATGGCTTGCTTCCCTTTCAATAACTCAAACAGAATGAACCAAGTATTCCTCTCACCCCTTTACCTAATTTCTTTTAATTTCTCTTCGCTGTTGGCGCGCGCCACTGCACCTATACCCTTTCTAAAGCCAAAAATATCCGACTACATAATTTTTACTTTTTTGAGTAAAAATACAAAATGAATTCTTTAAAAATGATAGTATTAAAATGTTTTAAATATTTAAATAAATTTTAACGAACTTAATTTCTATAACTTAACTAAAAAATTATATTGTAATATTAATGTATAATACGTAAGCATAACATTAAAAGTAAATTCAATTTACTTAATTTTGCTATAATCAAATAATTTACTTTTATAAAACAATATTAGTTGTTTATTTTCGATATACAATAATGCTCCTAAAATATTAGGGCATTCACATGTCGCTGCGCCACGAAAATTTTTCCGCCGAAATATTAGTCGCAGCCGAACATAACGGAGAGACGCAAAAAAAATAACGGACCGGCCGAAATTTGTCTCTGCGAGCACGGAGTGCAGGCAGATTATAAGACAAGAAAGAGAGGGAAATATCCGAGTATCTGCCTCTCTTTGTTGC